ATGCATTTAGACAGCAGAGCCTCTGTCCTTAGCATCCCCAGTCAAGTTTAAAAAATCAAGGATGAAGAATCTGAATATTCCACAGAAGGTTTGGGATCTTGTATCAGTGGTTTTAACATATAAATGAAGATGAATGAAATTGTCATGTGCAAGTTTTAGTGCAATGTAATCTTCTTTGTGTCAAAATTATAATACATATCATGCTATTTTCTCTAAAATTTATTATTTATGTTACACCTGACCCTGTGCTAAGTGTTTTATGAATGTCATTTTATTTAATCCTCACAACAAATGAATCATGTTGATATTAGTATCAATCATATTTTATTTTACACATGGGTTCCTAGAGTTTAATTTACTCAAGGATTTATATTACTAGAAAGAGTCCAAATAGGACCTAAGTGAAGTTTGAATTCAAAGGCGTATACATCGTGTAAAAATGATACAGCAGTCCCTTTGCTTCCCTGGGCTGCACAGCCTCTGGCGTCCAGGTGCCAGCACCTTTCCTGGGTAAATGGATGGAACTAGAAACTGTTATACTAAGTGAAGTAACACAGACTCAGAAAAAAAAAAGCGATGTTTTTATGTTCTCTCTCATATGTGGATTCTAGCACCAAATCCTGATGAGTGAGTTATGTATCCAGACATAACTACAGGAACTAGGATAATGAAAAGGAACCAAACCAGGGACATAAAGGAAAAGAAAGAATCTGAAAGAGAAGAACAGTAGGAAACAGGCATTAATAAGGGAGATATGGATAAAAATGTGGTTATTTTAAGGGGAGAGGGAAGGGAAGGTTATACAAGGAACCTAGGCAATAAAGGTTAAGAAGGAGCTCAAGAGAGGTGGGACCATAGGAGAAGGGTATTATTAAGAGAGAAATGGGAAAAATGGAAGCACCTTAAATGGGAAAACCATGGTGGAAGGGTTAGACAATGTGAGAGATAAACAATGCCAAGCTAGTTTTAAAAAACCAGAGGGAACCATATTAGTCCAACAACCTACTGACAAATTATATATACAACCAGACCAAAGAATGTAATATCTGTCTAGGCAAGGTTTATCTGAGAACGTTTGGTCTTTGCCTAAACTTTATCTACATGGCACATGGTAATTAAAAGTACCAGACCGGTGGAACTAACCTTCTTGGATGTTTAACAGCCATACTTTGAGGCCTATAATAATTTTGTCAGAGGGACAGAAAGGACATATTTGGCTCCTTGCCCTCCTAGGTCAACTAAGTTCCAGAGGACTCTGAGCATTTCCCAAAATGTCCTGTAACTGTGGTGAGTCACCTGTCCTCCTGATCAAGGAGGCCGTGGAGACCCCACGAGATGGACTTGAACCAGTGTCAAGTCTACAAAGAGGAGGGTCAACACAGAGGAAACATTTCTTGCATGCTTCCAAGCGAAGCCAGCCATGGTCAATTAAGTCCTTTGATTTATCTTCACATAGATGGAACTGGTAAAAGAAAGGAGCCAGGGGCTCCTTCCAAGCCCATGTGACCCCTGAGGAACAGATCCTGAAATGGCCTTAAGAGTAAAAATAAATTGGGCCAACTGTAGGGTCTTAAATACCCAAAAGGAAAGTATAACCAAAGATTAAATCAGTTAATATAATTTTTTAAGAGTCCATATGTATAGGTAAAGGCTACATAACAAGAAATAATGCCAGACAGGAGATACCTTCCTTTGAGTTGTTGGCCAGGGTGGTCCAGGAGATTCCCAGACAGTAACCCAGCATAGAAGTGGGAAAATGAACAGCAGACCCCAATCTTATCTAAGGAATATTGACAACTGATTGCTGCTAGATGAGGAACAGCTGATCTTCCTAAAACAAGGATCTCCAGATAGGCTGACTAGATTCAGTGGATGGGCAAGCACTGGCAAATGGCTGGGGGCGCTGACAAGACAGTGGACAGTAACAGGGATGACAGAGTTTATGGGCTCCAGTGGGGCAGGGCGAGGCTATGGGAGAGTGCCATTTGGGAAGTGAGTATATAGATGAATAAGGTTTGGGATGTTCTGTGTGATACATACACACACACACACACACACACACACACACACACACACACAAAATTAACAAATAAAAAATGAGTTATATTTGAATAAAATGATACAGCAATACAAACAATAGCTACAGTTTAAGATCTTTGAGCCTTCGGGGCTAGAGAGGTGACTCAGTTGTTAAGAGCACTGGCTGCTCTTGCAGAGGACCTGCGTTTGGTTCTCACCATCCACTTAGCAGCTAACAACTGTCTGTAACTCCAGTTCCAAGAGATCTTACACCCTCTTTTGATCTCAGTGGGTGGGCATTGCATGACACAGGCACACTTATATACATGCAGACAACATAGTCATACACATAAAATAAAAGAAGTAAGCCAGGCGTGATGGCGCACGCCTTTAATCCCAGCACTTGGGAGGCAGAGGCAGGTGGATCTCTGTGCGTTCAAGGCCAGCCTGGTCT